AAAAAAAAAAAAAAAAAAAGTTGGTTCCAAATAGTTCATTTTAACTTTCCATTTTCTTTTGCAAATATGACTCTTGCCCTACCCTTCGTCTCTCTCATCTGGTCAGCACCTATCCATGCAACAGCCTACAAACCATTCTGGAAGCAACTTTGGTGTCAATCCAAAGCAAATAGAATCCATTGTGATAATATTTAAGTTCAGCCATAATTATTTGCCTGTAAGATCGCTTTTCTTCCTTAATCTTCGCTCCAGTTTCTTCTGTTGGCTGAGGGCTTGGCACCTGTGGCTTCTTGGCGGTTTGCTGCAGCTGAGGTTTACCCAGGACTTCCTGCAGCCAGTAAGCAGATGTGTGCAGCTTTTGTATTACTCTAGTCCTTAAGGGAAGTACCTTATGGCCTGTCTGAGTAGGATAGGAGTACTTCTTGCTGCCATAGTTCTTCATATATGTTTTATTTAAATGGGAATCTGGTAAGTGAAGAAATGCAAATGATGGGGAGTGAGAAGAGCTGGTGGGATGGACACAATGGCTAGGGAATCTGGAATAAAGAACAACATCCTCTGAGTTGAGCACATACTATTACAAGACAAAAAATTAAAGAAATAGATATTTTATCTGGTAAAAATAGAACAATCGTTTTTAAGCCTGCGTTTTAAAAGTAGATGATGTTCGTGAATGAATGAAATATAACTGTTTAGCCCAGGTGAAGGATAGTATGCTTTATGGGTGAATGATATACTCTAAGAGAAATATTAATAAGTTAATTCCTAAGAATAAGTGCCGTATTACAAGTTAGAAACTCTGTGACTATTGATTTAAAAAGCAAACATTCTTTTACCCTGGGTTATGTTTGAAAGGTTTGTCTCTATTATCATAAAACTGGTGGAACACTTGTGTCTTTAGCTACTCTACTGATGATATATATATTGTTTGAATGAGACATTTCATGGTCCCTGTGGGGATAAACCAATCACACAATACTGCTTTGTCTATGCAGTGCCCAGGGACTCCTTCAAATAAGAGGGACTTACTACTGAAATGCCCTTCACCTAAGATTCCTAAAGAATGTTAGGAATAAGAGTTAGAATTGGGCTCCGCATACAGATGAACCGGTTTGCGGAGCAGAAATAGAGACACAGATGTAGAGAACAAACGTATGGACACCAAGGGGGGAAAGTGGCGGGGGGTGGGTGGTGGTGGGATGAATTGGGAGATTGGGATTGACATATATACACTAATATGTATAAAATAGATAACTAATAAGAAACTGCTGCATACAAAAATAAATAAAATTTAAAAAAAGAAAGGAATTGGGCTCCCCAGCCAGGGATCTCTACAATCTAGTTTTGTGACAACTCACAATCTTCAGCTAAACTGACACATCAGATTGTTTGAAAGTAAAAATAAGACCCATCTAGGCAAAGACAACTTCTGGCAAAGAGACTTCTTTGGGCAAAGAGATGGCTTTTTCCATTCTTTCAGACTTTTTTTTTTTTTTTTTTTTTTGCGGTACACGGACCTGTCACTGTTGTGGCCTCTCCCGTTGAGGAGCACAGGCTCCGGAAGCGCAGGCTCAGCGGCCATGGCTCATGGGCCCAGCCGCTCCGCGGCATGTGGGATCTTCCCGAACCGGGGCACAAACCCATCGGCAGGCGGACTCTCAACCACTGCGCCACCAGGGAAGCCCTTTCAGACTATTTTTGAAGCATGCCAAGTATAGCACTTTTTGAATGGCCAAAAGGGAAAATATACAGCATATCTGGCATGCAGTAAGTTCTCAGTGAATATTCTTTGGAACAAATAAGTGATAACAGACCTTACTGGGGCAGGTATATACCCTAGAATTGGCTTGTTTACCAGCCGTTTTACTCCTTTTTACATCTAAGGGCCTCATTACAGAGGTGTCACTCTAAAGCCATTACATCTTGTATCTTACCTGTTCCCACACTTCTACAAAATTACTCAGCCTGAGTTCTAAAGCATATAGAAAATCTGGGGTAAGTTTAAATACATTAAAATGTCAGCTTCCTAAAAACCAACACAATTAAAACCAACAAAGCTTTAATTGTGTACTAAACCTATCCTTTTACATAGGATACAAGAATAAAGTTTATATAAATATTGGGGGGTGGAATTCCAAGGCTTACCTTGCTCGGGCAATAGCTAAGACTGTTTTATAACTGTAGAAGGCCATATTTGTGTTTGTCTCAACAAGTCAACATAGAGACCTAGACAGAAGGAGTAAGTAAACAACTCAGTACTTTAAATCAGGGCTTTTCTGGTGGTGCAGTGGTTAAGAATCCGCCTGCCAGTGCAGGGGACACGGGTTCGAGCCCTGGTCCGGGAAGATCCCACATGCCGCAGAATAGGTAAGACCGTGCACCACAACTACTGAGCCCGTGTGCCACAACTACTGAAGCCCACGCGCCTAGATCCCATGCTCCGCAACAAGAGAAACCACTGCAATGAAAAGCCCGCACACTGCAACAAAGAGTAGCCCCGGCTCGCGGCAACCATAGAAAGCCACCAGGCAGCAAGGAAGACCCAATGCAGCCAAAGGAAAAAGAAAAAGATCAATTATACAGATATCAGGATTTAAGTGTTTTTAACTATTGCAAGGGTAGAAAATTTGCATATTCTATTCAAGGTGTAAAATTTCCTTCAAGTGCGTTTCCAACAATCACGAATAATATTTTCTTAGCCCCGGATTTGAGAATGGTTATTTGAGATCCCAACAAATAGAAATGATCTCGAATACGATGATGTTCATGATGGTGATATGGTCTTCAAAGACATTTTGATTTCTGGTCAACAGTACTGAGTAATTTACTTGAACGATTCCCAAGTAGTTAAGAAATCAAGACAAGCTTATTTGTAGCCTAAAATTACAGGTAGACAGTAAATATTCTGGATTTGTTTTCAATTAGCTTTTTTCCCATACTTGGACAAGCTGCTGCCAACATTTAAAGATTGAAAGTACTCACTCAGCAATGAAAATATGCATGGCACCTACTAATAATTCAAGTGGAGGTAAACGGGTTTCCTATGCTCGTGACCCTCCAAAGAGCCCAAACTGAGCTTTAAACCTTTAAATAAGCTTTACCAAAATTTTTCTGCATCCTACGGCGCTCTTCAGCCAACGGCAGCAAGAGCCTTATTATCTCGCAGTGTCAACTCTGCTTTCCTGAAGCTGGGAAAGGAGTAGCAATCCCTCCGGTACGGAAACCTCAACCACAGACCTGACATTTTGAGCAAGAATTCAAATAATACTTCGGAACATCTGCACCCAGACCAAGGGCGTGTGGCCCCCTGCTGGAGGAAGGTCAGACCCGATCGGGCAGTTAATCTGCTCTCGGGCCACGGGCGCTCGCCGCCTGGACTGTGGGCAACCACTTCGCAGGAGTGCCCGGCCGTGACCGGGGCGGGGCGGGGCCGGGCGGCGAGCGGGGCGGAGCCAGGCG